GGAAGTTGCCGTACCGGCTGGTGCTGGAGGGTGGCCGGGGCAGGTAGGCCAGCATGTGCTTGGCAGTGGGGGTCTGCGCCGGGGGGATGGAGTTGCTGCGGCCGCGGGGCTCCTCGGGCACCAGCCAGCCCCCACCGACGCTGTTGTGGGCACAGGGCAGCACCATGGCAGTGCCAGGCAGGGGTTCAGCCCCGGGCTGGGCACAGGGTCCTGCTGCAGGGACACAAAGTGGGGGGTTATTTTGTAGGTGGAGGGTGGTGCAGGACCCCTGCCCCTCTGTGCATCCCCATGGGCTGGGGGCTGGAGGGGCCAGCAACGCACGTGCCGGTGATGGAGCCACGCCGGGGTGGTGACGGGTCGGCACCAGATGGCTAAGCCCATTAGGAGGCATAATTGCATTGCAGAGGCCTGGATAGAGGCATCCGCCTCCGGCAGGAGCAGCCCCGGCAGCAGCCGAGCTCCAGGTGAGCACCCGGGCTCTGCTCCATGCCTGTCTCAAGACTGTGGCGGTAATTGCCAGGTCTCTAACAAGCTCGGAGCAGTAAGGAGTGGCCCCTGGGTGTGGGTGGGACAGCCCATGGAGAGGTGCAGGCTCCATAATATCAGGGCTCCTTGGGACAGCCAGGTCCCCATGTGGAGATGTGACAGGAGGTCACGTCCCTGGAAACACTGTCCCAACGACCTGCAGGGACAGGGCTGGGGAGCACAGGGCTCAGCCTCCTCCAGCATCCCCAGCCAGGCCCTCTCCCACTCCCACAACAGCTCCTGCGTATGCCCTGGTGAGACCAATGGTTCTGAGGGCTGGCCCTCCCCAGCCCCCCAGCCCTGTGCAGACCCCTCACTTGAGTGGGCACCCACCTCATGTCCAGGTGGAGCAGTGGCAGGACCAGCAGACGTTGTCCTCGGTTCCCTGGTCCTGCTCTGTCCCAGCTGCTGCAAGACATCTTCCCACCAGTTGTGGATGGGAATCCTGCACCCGGCTGTGCTGGTGGGAGGGAAGTTCCGAGGGGGAGCTCGGCACCCGCCGCCAATCCTGCTCCGGCAGCAGAAGGTCACCCGTTAATCTGACTCAATGACAGGCACAATTACCTCGACACGATTAAATTGGAAGGAGTGAGCACCCGGGCAAAGGAGCAGGAGGGGTTTCCCAGTGGATTTCCCAGCTCTCACCCTCAGGATGATGCTTCCTGTCTGCTCCTGGGGCTGGGACTGTCCACAGGGGCTGGAAGACGTCCCCCCTCTCTTGCCTGGTCTGTGGCCCAGGTTGAACACAGCCGGTGCTCCTTTCAAGTCCCCCCTGTGCAGATCTCCCCCCGACACTCACTGGGGCTGAGCCCCCCCATGCCAGGAGGACTCAGTAATTTACCAGCTGAGCCCCGAAACCTCTGTTGATAAGAAAGACGGCAGATGAAGGAGAGATTAGTCGCTAATCTCTCAAGGAAGATGAATCTACAAGCTGGACCCTGCGGAGGGGCCACACGTGGGGGCGGGAGGGAGCTGAGCACCAGCACAAACTTGGGAATTTCCTGACTATGTGCTCCGTCCTACTCCCTTTTTTTTTTTTTTT